TGCGGTGCCAGGCGGGGTTCTGCCAGGGACAGGCAGCAGCCCGTGTGTTCCCCTCCTTGCTCTTCATCAAGTTCAGATGTAAGGTGGAGAAAAGTGGCTACACCTCATTGCTCTGAAGTTCCTAAAAGAGCCATGGAAAAAAAATGGGCTTCCAGCAGGGCCGTGCAGACCAAAGCTGCCTTTTACCAGAGACCCGACAGAAGCCGCAGAGCAGCGTCTGGAGGGGGGCGCGGGGTCTGTGCGAGCCCCATCCCCAAGGCTGGGCAGAGGCGCACGGGAGCGGCCGCGCCTCGCCCTCCGCACCGAGAGCTGCGACCGGAGCGGCTGCACCGCCCGCCTCTCGCTGCCAGCTCCCCGCGCCCTGGAGTGGGCGGCTGAAAACATCCAGGGAGGCGAACACCGACTGCGTTATCACTTACGCAAGCCTGGCATCGCTGACGTACATTTAGAAGGGGATTCGGCAAATAAAGGCGGCTGCCGGCAGCCCGCATTACCTCGGGTGCTCTGCGCGGGCTGTGCCTCGCAGGACGTGGCGAGCAGATGGGGCTGCCCCCGCAGCTGGGAATCCTCCCTGCGGTTTGTAAATCCTGAGCTTTGAGTTAAAGAAGTGGTGGGAAGTGTTGGTGGGAAAGCGATGCTCCCATCTGGCAGGGGTAGAGAAGAGGCTGCTTGTCTCAGGCATGGGCTGCTCAGAGGTCATGGCCGGTGTCAGGGTGGGTACAGATTGCTGTAGCTCGGCTCTTCTGCTTCTCCAGCGAGGGCAGGACAGGCTCAAGCCAGCAAAGAGTGGCACAGTGTTGCCAGCCATTGGCAAATATTGGCAAGACCCCCTTCTCCAGGAGCAGCAGGACTCAAAAGTGAGGGAGGAACTCAGCAGTTCTCTCACAGTGTATCCTGCGTTTGCATTGCTGGAAAAACATCTTCTGTGGTGGGCTGTGACTCCTCCATACCGAGGGACAGATCCTGTCCTCGGTGTCCTCTAACCAAGACTCATTCTGAGCACATAAGTACCTGCATTCAGCAGTGCTATCATTCCAAATAGTAGTTTACTATTTCCCACAGCTGAAAAATGCAGAACTGAGGTTGAACTCTAACAGTATTTTCTTAGTTAGAATTTCTAGCTTTTATTTCCTAGCAAGGACCTAAAGCACCTTTCTTTCTCCCTCTCCTCCCAAGGCCCAGGTTTTTCCCCCTGCCGGGCTCCCTGGTACCCGCAGCACAGGCGTAGCAAAATCACTGGAAATGGCTCAGTCCAGCGGATCAGGACAGAAGGGGGAGCCCAGGAGACAAAATCGGAGAGCATCCCCCCCGCCGGGCTCCAGCCCAGCTCTGGATGTTAACTTCAGTATCTTTAGTTGCCTCCTGTTTGTTGTATATCTGTGCATGGCTCACAAATACTGTTCTGCCTGTACCTGCCTTAGTACTTTCTAATTGATTGCTGCTAATAATTTGTTTTCTTCTCCAGATACCAGCAATATGCCCGTCATAAAGTACCCGAGGCTTAGAGACCCTCTCTTTTATGAATGGGACAGGAAAGCCCAGAAATGTGGATTAAGACACACAATTTATGCTGTAAATGGGGATCAGTATACTGGAGAATGGCTGGACAACTTGAGACATGGTAAGATAGATAATTCTGAGAAAAAATAGCAGCTTAGATGTGTTTACAAAGGTTCCTAGGGATAGGAAGTGGTCAGTGGTTCTGTGGGCTCTGTATGCTCCTGGAAGAGCATTCATGTAGGACTGTATGTACACACACACATACACACACACATATATATTTGATATATGTAATGCAAAAATGCAGAAACCTTTCTAGTAGGTAACTTGAAGAGCTTTTGCATGCACTCAGGGGCAACCACCCAAAATATCTCTATTACAGATGTTTAAAAATCCTTTCCAAATAACAGCAAACTGAAGTCAGCTCCATGCACTGGGATGTGCCCTGGCTGCACAGTCCCTGGAGCTCTCTTAGCTCCTGACTTGGTTCCAGGAATCTTAATTTATTCCCAAGATGTGGCAGGGGCTGCAGGGGACAGAGCAGGAGGAGACCCTGTCCAAGGCAGGAGCAGCCAGAGCAGGACAGACTTGTTTACAAGCAGTAAACTGAGGTTTGGAAAGATTTCTGCATTCAGCAGAGGCCACACAGGAAGCCCCTGATCAAGATTAACGATGGCTCCAACTTGGGAAGCTAAACTGAATCCCAGACATAGGCCTGACTCTGTGCCTGGGATGGAGCACAAGGGCAGCCCTGAGCACCCTCCTCCTAACCATGATGGTGTCCCTGTCACTCCTGTTGTTTGTTGAACAGGCAAAGGCACCCAGATTTGGAAGAGCACAGGAGCAATTTACAGCGGTGACTGGAAGTTTGGGAAGAGGGACGGTTATGGCGCATACAGCATTCTTGACCCAGAGACCAAGGAATACAAGAGGGTGTACACAGGCTGGTGGGAAAATGACAGAAGATGTGTAAGTGAGATTTTCTGCCAGCACTGAGGCAGTGGGACCAAAACATGGGGAAGAGTTGGGTGCACGTGTGCAAAAAGATTACTTAAAATACTAATTTTCACAATACTGAGGCTGAATTGAATGGTCAAGACTAAAAATCCAAGATTTGTATGGGAGTGCCATCTCCTTCCTGGAGAGGGATTCATCCCCAGCCATCTGCTGGTTACCAGGCTCAGCCTGAGCTGCCACCAGCTGCCACAGAGCATTGGTTACTGCTCAGACCCACCTGCAGCTTGGCCAAACACGATGGGAAGTTTGACATCCTGTCTCTTAATCCTCCCCACCCATCCCTTTCACTACTCTTGTCCTTGAACAAGTCAGAGGAACCTGTATCATAAGCACTGCCAGAAAATGCACCTTCTTCTGGGAGTTTTACAAATAATAGGCAAATAACTTGAGTTCTTTTGGAAATCAGGCCTGTCATATTAATCAGTTTTTCCTAAAAGGAACATAATGAGAAAGTCATCTGGTAGAAGTGGCTGCAATGTAACGTGCAAAATCCTTGTAGGAACGTTTTTGGATCTGCCAATGGAAACCTTGTGTTTGTCTTTGTGTCTGCTCTCAAATCAAACTCATCTCCACCAACGCTTTTAATGGGTGTGTGGCTCCATGGCTCCTGTCTCTTGGAGGGAGCTGAGCTTCCCTTCCTGTTCTTTAAGGTTAGATTTTGCATAATTGAGCTTTGGTGGAAGATTTATAATGACATCCAAATATCACTAGGGTTGGGTTTTCTTCTTAGAAGTTTTCCCCTTACATCCATGCAATTTAATAAAATTAATACTCAGAAAAATCAGTTGTTTCCAGAACTGGTTTTATTATTTGTTCAGAGAAAAAAGAACACTTTATTCCTATGGGAAAATGTGTTAGTGATATGGAAATATTTCTTATTGGTATCACTCCCTGGCATAGGGGGTAATTCAGGACTTCTCCTAATGGCAAACATACATGAAAAACCAACAAGGGGAGGAGCTGCCCAGCCTGGGACACACTGAGCTGGAAACATCATCAGGGTTGAAAGAAATGAAATCCCCTGTTGAAAGACACATCCTTTAATTCTGCCTTTCCCCAGGCAGGTTTATATACTTGTAAAATCCACTTTTAGCTAAATGTTAGCAGCAATCATGCCAATAATAACACACTGAGATATAAACCCAAGGTTTTGTCAAGGGAATAAAACTGTTTGCCAAAAAAAAAAATCCCGTACTACCACATCTCATTTCCTTCAACACAAGAACAGCCCTGGAGCTGGGCTGCCAGCATGTGTCAGAATAATAAATAAAGGAATATTCTATCAAAGTGATGTCCCAAAATTGAACACTGAGCCCTTTCAATAGAGCAGCTCCTAACCAGCCATGTCTGTGCTGCTGTCCAGGGCCGGGGGACGTTCTTTTACCCCAACGGGGAGCTCTACGAGGGCGAGTGGAGCAACGGCGTGCGGAGCGGCTGGGGAAAGATGCACTACAAGGACGGCTCCACCTACGAGGGGCACTGGCTGATGGATCAGCCCAACGGGCTGGGCCTGCTGCAGCTCCGTGAGTACCGACCACCCTCACTCACCCTGTCCCCTCCGAGCTGTTCGGGGTTGTGCTGCTCTCCGGGTGTCTCTGCCAGCCAGGGGTCTGTGCTGCGGCCTTGGGCAGCACTGACACTGCCCCGTGCCATCCCTCCCCTCCCGGGCTGCAGCGGGAGGCAGCACGGGCTGAGCAAGGGCCGGCGCTGCTCAAGCCCATAAGCCCACACGCATGAAAGCTTACTTTTACTGTGATTTACATTTAAATGACTGGGATGGTTCGGGTTAGAGATAATATACTGTTGGGTCAGAGAAGAGCAAATCTCTCTTTTCAAGGCAGGCACTTTGCCAGACAGGCTTTCTAGCTCTGAATACCAAAGAAGAGTTCAGTTTCCAGCAGAGGAAAAAAACCACAACAACATAGTTTTCCTTTTGAGCTCACTCCATCCCCTCTGTCTACTTCCGACAGTGGCTTGTGTTGAGTGAACACAGGGGTTTCATTAGTACACAACCCTTTTCCATAAATAACCCCAAGTACATCATGGATTGGGAATGTTAGGGCCAATCTCAATGTAAATACAGAAATTTAATTTTTTTTTCCTTATTTTCCTGGGAGTCTAACACATTTTCCCCCAAAGCAAACAATCCCAACAATCTCTGCAATACCAGGCATGGCATTCCAAGAACATCTGCATAAACATTATCTCCATATTATTATTCATCTATTCTATCTTTTTTTTGCTTGAAAGTGATCTCAAGGCTAGTAATTAGCTAAGCAAAGCAGCTGGGAGGAATGAGCCTGACCTTCTCTGCACACCACATGCATGACTGTGCTCCCTGCACTGCCTGGAAAGTCACTTTGGACCGATGGCTCATCTGGATGAAATCAGCACCTGCTTCCAGGGGGAATCTTGCACTGATCTGCTGTGTTCCTGTCAAAGGCCCTGTTAGTTCTAAACTAACAGCCCCTGCAGGCTGAGCTGTGGCTGATACACCATTTCAGAGCTCACTCGCCTCCAGCCTAACCTGCAACTGATTGTTAGCTGGATTCCTTTTGGTTAAAATTAGCCAGAGCAATTATTTCATACCCACAAGCTTAATGCATTCAGCTCAGCTGCTGGAAGTGCGCCCACGTGCCGGCAGCTTTGCCATGCGAAAGAAAAGGAGTTCTTCAGTGGAGGTCACGATGAGCTGCAGCTCAAGATTAAATTGCTTGTAGTGGCAGCATGCCCAGTGAGGGTGAGCTTGGCTGGGAGCACTGCACTGATCTGCTGCCTCTGCCACATCCATTCCCCAACAGCTTTGTACCAGAGCACTTCACATGCACAGGGATGGTGGTTCTGAGCAGCACAGCCTCGGGTGCTCTGGGAGCAGAGCAGATGGGAGCAGCCAGGCACCACAGTGCACTCAGGGTGTTCATTGCCTCCTCTTTGCAGCCAGGATTGTGGTTTTGGTGGTTTCTCACTTGGTGGCTGGAGTGCAGAAGCTGAGCTGCTGCCAGCCTGGACAAGGCAGCTTGGTGTAGCAGATAAGCACAAAATCAGATCAGAGTTGCAGATAACCATCACCACGGCTCCAGCCTGTAAACCAGACCCTGCCTGAGCAGCCCAGCAGCCAAATTCTCCAGAAGCCTTTTGGGGCTTCCCCTCTTCCCTTACAGCATCCTGGCAGGCCCCAGTTATCTCTGCAGCACTGTGTGTGGTGTTTCAGCCACTTCTTGTGATGAAGAATGGCAGAGTTCAGCTGAGACTCAAAGGTATCTCCACTAATATGGTTAGAAAACCCCATGGGTTTGGGCTTAGAAACACTGTATGTAGGAAAAGGGGTGAGCAGAGGACTCCTGATGACAGCAGGGTGGTCTGGATCTGTCCCAACCCCCAGCACCACCATGGGTATGATGCCCTTTCTCAACCAGCATCCATAGATGAGGCTGCTCTCTTCCCCTTGCAGCTCTGCTTTCCCTGTTAGTGATGGATGGGTGGATTCCTGGAGAGCAGCAGAGAGCCCAAAAAAAGCCTCTCTCAACTTGCAGAAAAATGCCAAGAGAAGCAGTACAGCTGGAAAAACAGCCTGTAACTGACTGCCAGAACTGTTCAGACTCTTGCAGCAATTCTCACCCCGTAATTCATTGAGGAAAAACTTAACTAAAAGTATTCTTTGAAATCAAGATTATTTTGACTGGACAGCAATCAGTGCTCTGTTCCTTGCCCAGACAAGCAAACCTCTTCAAGCTGGAGATCCTGTGTTGCAGTGACAAATCTGAAACTTGTGCCCTGTAATTTTTCATGTTGTGAAGGGTGACTCAGGGACCAGTCCCTTTCCTTGAGCATACTGGCTCCTTGTGTCAGCAAAAAATGAGTATCACTGTGAAAACAAAGCAGCTGAGCAGAGTCCTGGTTCCAAGTGAGCAAGGGTGAGCTCCTTCTGCAGCATTTTCTCCCTCTGTGGCACAGCAAATGGAGCACTGCAAAATTAAAATGACACACAGCACCACAGCCACCTTGAAATTACTAAGAGGAGCCAAACACGTGATCTTCTCCTCTGCTGGTTTGCTCTGTTGATGATTTAATTTGTAACCTCTTAACACAATGGTGCAAATTTCAAGGTCTGTCCATGTATTTAATTGCAGCAAATGGAAATCGGTACGATGGAGGTTGGAAAGATGGCAAGAAGCATGGCCCAGGGAAATTCTTCTACCCAGATAAGGGACAGCTGCTAGAAGGCATCTGGGTAGCAGATATACCAAAGTGTGGAGTTCTGGTTGAATTTGGCAGAGAAGAGGCTCCAGCCCCTCCTGAGCTTCCACTCCCAGAGGTAATTGCTTGGAAATGCTGGTGTTTGTATTCATCAGTGCTCGGGTCAGCTCTCCAGGTAGCATTTCACTTCTCAAGAGATTTCCCCCATGGGGTGTGTGCTCAGAGCCTTTTGGCCAGCAGCATCCTAAATGGCCCCATAGGGACTAACAGCTCATGCAGCCTCTGCTGGAGCCTCCCACCTGCCTCCATCTGAAAAAACACAGTTCCCATGCACCAGAACTGCTCAGAGACCTGGTGCAGCACAAAGGAAATGGGGACAATAGAGGCACAGACAATAGTGGGATTTGTGTCAAGATCAGATGATTTCACCAAGCCCAGCTGCTGAGGCTGAGCAGACCCTGCAGGGCCAACAGCAGCTCTTTCCCCAGGTCAGGGGCTCACCACTGTGCCCAGCAGCCCCGGGGGCACAGGGGTGTGTGCAGCTTCCCAGCTGGGCCCAAGGGGGCAGATGGTGTCCTACAGCCCTCAGCCTCTGCTCCTCTTTTCCCTCGACTGACACACTGCAGAGGGGGAGCCAGGCCCTATCCCCACCCCAAGGACTTGGTGAGACACAGACACACTGGTGGGACACAGACACACACTGGTGGGACACAGAGACACTGGAGGGACACAGAGACACACTGGTGGGACACAGACACACTGGTGGGACACAGAGACACTGGTGGGACACAAAGACACACTGGTGGGACACAGAGACACTGGTGGGACACACAGACACACTGGTGGGACACAAAGACACACTGGTGGGACACACAGACACACGGGTGAGACACAGACACACTGGTGGGACACAGACACACTGGTGGGACACAGACCCACTGGTGGGACACAGACACACTGAGCCTTCAGCCTGGCAGCCACTGGGTCCTTGCACAACACTTTGGTGGACAGGAGAGCCGAGCCTGTCCCCAGCTCTGAGCCCTTGGAGGAAGAGGAGATGGGAATCAGCAGTGAACAGATGTGAGTCCAAGTGAGAGCTGGCCCCAAGAATCTCAGCTTGAACCCTCATGGTGTGCAAACCACAGATGTGAAACCAAATAGTCAGTGCAGGATGGGCTGGGGCAGCTCCCCCTGAGTTAGAGGCAGGCAGGACCACCCTGGATAATCACAGCTCAGCACTGCCCCAGTAACACAGCAACCCACCCACCTTCCTCTGGAACAGGGACAGTGTTCAAAGTGACACCAGGCACATGCAGCCTTCCAAGGCTCACAGCTGCTACATCTTCATTGCCTCTATCTTGTCAAATCTGCTTTCTATAGCCAAAGGCCCTTTGAGCACAGTTTTGATGAACCAGTTAATCCTGTAAGTACCAGGCACACCCAGAGCAGTGCAGAATAATAAACCCCAAATACCCACCAGAGGAAAACAATCTCTATTTTGCAAAAAGAGTGAAAGGAGCAGCACTTCTGTGGCTAAAAATATTTACTATATGTGGTTTGTCAAAGGTCACTGAGAAGAGCCTCAACAATCCAATAGCCTGGGATGAACTATGGGTACACTAAGGCAGGATGTGCAAGTCTGGCTGTTTATTTAACTCCCTGAAGACCAAGTGATGATCCAAATCTCTTCTGCTCTATAAGCAAAAACAAAGCATCAACTTTCACTGCTGTTAGTGTGCTTTCAATGGGTAGAGATCTGTTGATCTCAGAAAATGAAGTAATTGATAAAAGGAGAAAAACTGAATTCAGGTTTTCATAAACTTTTGTCACCACCACCCCCTTTATTATAATTATAGGTGAGGCCTAACAGGCTGCAAATCAAAGCCACTTTTGCCAAGAGTGTGTTTTGTTGAAGTCACTCACACAGAGCTATTTCGAGGAGATAAAGTGATGTTCAGCACACTAATAAAATTAGGGGAGGGTAGTTGTTTCTAAATAATTGAAAGACTGCAATATGAGCTGAAGTCCTGATACGTGGGAGACTCAATAATGCTCAAGAAATTAAGATCTATAAAACCTTAGGCTTCTTCAATTACACTGCATAACTGATTTGTATTCTTTTCATTTAGATTAAACTACAAGATCCAGCTGGTGTTTTAGCAGAGGCCCAGGCAATGTTTGATGACAGCTATAATGAATAACCAGATGCTGAAGAAAAAAAAAAAAAGAAAAATTCAAGAACACGATCCTGGGTTATTTATTCCTTGGAGTGTCAAACCCACCCCGTGGTTTTGGTGTTGCAGTCTCAGCCTCACCCTTCCCTCAAGGCTGCTCAGGTACACTTCCCTCTGCAGTGCCTTTGCCCAGTAGCCTCCTCCCACCCGTTAGTTTGGAAAAGAAAGGGAAAATAATAATGGGGAAAACCCAAAAGACAAACACCAAAAGGATGGAAGAGAGGCAGAGTGACTCTTTGCTCAGCTCCTCTTATTCCTCCTGCTAAGAAATCACACTCCTGGTGATTTCAAGGCCTTTGTTTTAGAGAAGGAGGGTTTTAAAAGCATATAAAAAAGTACAATCAAGTAATTGTGTTCTCCACTCCCCCCAAACATAGCCCAATACACACCTGTGACCCCAAATGCCTTTTGAAGTTACAACAGATCATGTTTCAATTAATAAGTATATTTCAGGCCTCTAGATAAAAAATAATCCACAACAATTGAGTATATTTTATTTCATGAAAGTATTTTATACCCAAATAAGTGACATACAATAACCAATGTTTAAAATTATTGAGGTAAATGCCTAACACCATAGTTAGTATAAATAAGGGATAAAAAATTTTAAGTGCACTCAATGTTTAGATCCATTTGTTTGTGTCTGGTTACTGCCTGGGTACACAGTGACAAAGGTACCCAAGGTGTAACTTTCATGACCATTTCCACAGGTGGAAAACGACAAAAACATACTTGATATCATGGCTTAAAGTGCAGAAAATAGTCAGAAAATTAGCTGTAATAACAGTGCCATTAGCTCAGAGCCTACCAGCTTGAGAAAACTAAAAATAACCATGTCCCACTAGCTTCTAATTCTGTGTGTCTTGAACAACAAGAAAATCCCACATTTCTTAGTCACTTTGTAAAAGATCCACAAATCAAAGAAAAATGCAGCTACTTATCCAGAACAGCAAGGAATTTTACAAAATAAATTCAGAAAACTGATTTTCTGGACTTCCATTTAGAACCATATAACTTCTAAATACAAAATTTACAGAAAGAAGTACAATTTTTACACCTGACCACACCCTTCCAATCAGTTGCTCTGGTGTGAATACCAGGTCAGGTTTTCTTCATTTAGTGGGGGATTTTAGGGGCCTGTTTTCCCTGACAGAACTGATAAAGTTCTGTCTTGAATGGGAAAATACATTTTGTGATTTGAAATGCTGCTTCCTTATTGCCTTTACTAAAGCAATGCTTCCAGTGCTCCATGAACAAACACCTGTGAGTCTGTAGCTACAATCCTCACCATCAGATTTACATCAGGATTACAATATATTTGGAGCATGTCATGGCAGAGCTGAGAAAATCCAGTTTGGCCTCTGTATGCCAGGACTTTCACTACACAGGTGAGAACACCACATGGAAAGCTGTTTGCTGCTTGTGAACCACAACTGCTGCTGAAAAAAACAAAGAGACCAGCAGGTTGTTTTGTTTTGTTTTTTTTATAGTTATGTTTTTAGAATACAAAGGCACCACAGGTGACCTTGTCAACACTTTGCACTGCAGTGCTGCTGACAGCAGAGATCAGCTCCCATCTGCTTCAGCAGCAACCACACTGCACCTGAACTCCACAGGCACTTGGTGCAGATTGTAAATATGTGGGAATAACCTGAGCTGGAGCTTGGTGAGAGAGACCAGATTCAGCCCAGGCTGTCAGGCACAGTTCCCTGGACTGTCACAGTCCCTCCTGTCCCATGGCAAAATCCCAGGGCTCTGTTCCACAGGGATAGTTGTGACTAGTGATAGCTAAGTTTGTTTTTTTTTCCCTTTGGCTTGTCTCAATTTGTGTTCAAAAAACAGCTTTTACCCATGAAAGCCCAAAGCTACTCTACAGAAGAACTGTGCTCCAAAAAAATTCATCTCCTAGACATAGCCAGAATGACTGAAGCAGCCCAGGACAACTGCTGGAATCTTTCCTGGGCAAACCTCTGATCAAATGGAGGTTTTTGCTCAGAGGAAATGAACAACACAGTAGCCTTGCTGTCACAGAGGTGTCTGAAAGAAAGCAGCAGTAATAATTACAAATAACCTACTTTCATAAATAAATATACATCAAGTTGTCTTCCAGATTCTTTGGAAGCAAAAATGTATAATGAGTTATTAAATACAACACTTCAGCAAGGAGAACACTTTTCTAAACAAGGAAGACCAAGGCATAGCTAATTACTTGGGAATCCAACACAGAGAAAGCACCTTTTGCTGCTTGCTTCTGAGGATTTATTAAAAATATTTTTTCAGTATAAAAGTATAAAATAATTACTACTTTGGCTTGGAAAAGAAACAGCAGTGGTTCTGATTTTCAAGCAAAAAAATTATCCAGTGATAATTTCCATCTAGCTCCTTCTTTTTAAAAAAGGATTCTTCAAAGAGAAACAGGCAAATCTATCTCTCCAGATAATATGTGCCAGCTCATGAGAACTTTAAAAAACAGTTATTGCTTTGATTTTCTTCCATGGAAGAGAAGAGTCGAGTCTCATTCCTACTCATGTGGCCACACCACATCGCAGTAAGTCTAGTCCTGGGTGTTTAGCAAGTTACAAAACGTGTAAGTGCCACGGGAAAAAGGCACTGCAGAAATCAGCAAAGTAATAATTACTTGGCAGCAAAACATACTGGGGAAAGTGCTGGGAAAGCTTTCACTCCTACCATCTGTCAGGCTTTCCAGGGAGAGCAGCGCTAGCGCTGAAACCGAGCGCTAATTGCTGCATGTCCCAAGTAATTTGTATCATGCCATGCAATATGGATAGGACAAGCAGGATCTTCTAGTAAATGCCAACATCAGATAAACAGAGAAAAAAAATCCACAACTTCTCTATCCATTCCTAACAAATACCCAAATGTACAATGTTATTTTCCATGTATTTATACAGCCACCATTCAGCACTAACGAGAAAGATGCGAGACAGTGTTCACAGGAGGAGGGCTGCACATGCAGTGCAATCACACCCCACCATCCATTCCTTCAGATAGCAAAACTTGTACGAAAGGAACATTTTTTCCCTCTCTAAAGGGTTAGAACAATATTTATAATTATTCTTTAAACAGTAATCAGCAGTTCAACCAGTTCATCCACAGGGAGTCACCATAAGGCAGAAGCAGAAGAGTGGGTTAATTTTCTTAAGCACAGGTTTACACAAAATTGGTGACAGCTGAGGTGACAGCATCACCTCTGTGATCCAGTTGATCCTGGAGCCGTGCAAATTCAGCAAGTTCATTGAGTTCCTGAAATTGCCTGTCTGTTTTGTGGCTCACCAGGGACCGGTAGAAGTGGACTGCAAACACAATGAAAATCAATCCAAAGGGCACCATGATGGACGTGGATGCAATGGCTGCTGCCTGCCCTGATGTGATGGTAGAACTGTTGCTCTGTGGGGTGTTGTCAGTTTTCTTCTTTAAAGGAAGGAACTTGACCCAGCACAGTAACACCACTTCTGCAAGAAAGAGCAAAGTCCCAATGACAGTGGAGAAGGCCCAGGCGAGCTCAATGTGCCGGTGCATGCGCTCGTGAGGAGATTCCTTGACAGAGTTGAGGTTATGCACATTGCTAACAGCCTCTATGTTTGGAAGGATGCAGGTACTTATCATGAGTGCAAAAAGGTGAACTGCAACGAGCACAGTAGTGCAGGCACTGAAGGCTATCAAGAGCCCCTGAGGATAGTCGTGGTCTGGGTCAAGCTGAACTTCCACCATAGCCACCTGAAAAGGAAGGGGGAGAGAGATGCAGTTACCTACAGCTTCTATGATTTGACCACAGGTTATTCAAGGTTTGCACCATGTTTCTGGAAGATCATCTGATAAAAACAAAGTAAGTCTGTATTTACATTTCCTTCATGTCGATCTGCATCCTCTTCATTAGGTCCAAATTTAGGTCTGAGCTATCACTGTTGTCATACTTACTGTTCTGTTGTAGAGCAAACCCACAACCACCTTGCCACCTTCAGCTCATGCCAGCAAAGCACCCTTGGACTCCCTAAGTGAAATATTTCTTCTTTTGTGTTATATCAGAGACACAGCTTTTGATCTTATGAAGTATTTGAAGTGTCTGTGAAAGCAGGGGACTGCCTGAAACAACCTCGGTGGTCCTTTCTCCTTGGACGTTTGGGTTTAAGTTCTAAAGTGCAGAAATCTTTCATGAGAAAGATCCCCTTTCCATGGGGCTCTCAGCTATATTCTTTCACTGAAGTATTTAAATGGACTCTGGAACACAGATTCAAAATGTGAGTCTCCAAATGCCCATGGCAGCCAAGCAAGCCTGTTGGAGGCTGGAGGAAAGGCATCTCCAGAAAAGATAACACAATGCTCCCAGGCATCACTGCTCCCCCAAAGAGGAGGCCACTCATGAAGATGTTCCAGCCCTCCACTACCACATGCAGCCATGACCTTCTTGTAACCTCAGATCTCATGCATGCCTGTGCCTAAGGAGTACAAAAATCAGATTAAATAACAGCCCTAGGAAGCTCATAAAACCAGCTGGAATAATTCTGACAAATAAAATTAATTAGAATGCCTTTTAGCTGGTTTTAAAACTGCCAGGTGGTTTTGTGCATATATGCAATTGATGAGTGACATTAATCCCAACAGCTCTCCTGAAATGATCTTTCCTGATAAATTTGCCTTTCAGACAAAGGATGGTTCCAAAGAGGGAATAATGCACAAAGATCTCTAGGTTCAGTGCTCTTTCTCAAAAAAACTCATTAAACAGACAAAACACAGGTAAAATACAGAGGAAAAAACCTGACAGTAATCTGAAATATAAGCACATCAAGCTGATATGCAGAAAGATCCATGGGTAATCCAGGTGCAGGGAGGCATGGAAACCAGGGCTCAAAGACAGCTGCAAAAGCAGCAGGAACATTCAACCCTCACTACTGTGCAAGAGCTGAGCCAGGCTAACCCAGTCCTGGATCCCACCTTAGCCATGTTCCAGGACAGCAGAACTCTGAATCACCAATGCTCCCAATACATTAAGGCAACCCAGGGTTTTGCTCAGACATGTTCCAACAGGCATTCGAGGCCATTTGCCAATTGTTAATTCCTTTATTGAAAGCTTTTATTGCCATAAGCCTAACAACCCAGCCAACTAGCAAGCAGTTTCCAAGTGTTCTGAAATTATATTAATGCATATACAGTCCTTGCTCGAGGATTTAAAAATACCATTTTTCAGCTGTGGGAAACTTCATGACTGAGAGGATAAACATTTGCTTGTCAGGTCTCTGTTCTGCAGGATTGCTTGTTAAGTCTCACTGTACTCGTGGGATGTTGGGCTTCCTGTGTTTTTCACAGAACAATTGCAATCCTTCACCACTGAGGATTCATTTTCATACTTAAAGATTTTTCTTGTAAGTCTTCTGCTGTGCCTAGACTCAAAGCCATCCAGCATGACAAGACACTTTAATCCTTTATCCTAGTTCTTAGTATGATAACATAAACATGGCACTAAAGAGCTTCATGAGATGAAAACTTTATTTTATTTTAAGAACCGATTGTATTTAGTTTGCCAAACATTGAAGACATTTGATATTTCCATTTATCAACGCCTCCATACTAATGAAATCAAGCATCTGATTTTGAGCTCCTTGTGTTCATGTCTGGCAGAGTAATCCCAGCCTGACCCATAAGCAAAAAATCAGTTCATGTTTTCTGTCTCCTCAAACTCTCAGCAAAGCTAACTTGGGAACTCTTTCAATGTAAACTAGCAGAAAAACTGCCAACTCTTCAACTCCGAGTTTCCTTCCTGAGCCAAGCTTGAGCCAGGCACCTAAAACAAAAAGTTTCATTTTTCACCAAGAGGGCCTGTGCCTGTTTTCTAACAGAGACACACAGTGTCAGAAGTTCTTCCCTCCTTTGCTCATGCTACAATTTCAAAATAAACAGATCACAACTGCTCTTGTAAAGCAATACCTGCAGGAACAGGGCCCTGATGAGGTCACCTGATATGATCCAAATTCACACAAAGCCTGAACTCACAGGTACACGCCAACGTTGCAGGCAGGACATGTTCCTGCTCTGCTTGTTCAGAGGAGCTGCTCAGGCCAGGAACTGTCGTCAGTGGCTGCACACTTTCCAACACAACACTTTCAGCACTTTATCCTTCACTGCTTTCAAAGCTTCTCTGGACACTTGCTGCAGATTTGACCGTGCAGCTGCTGAGCTGCCAGTGCCCTGCCTTGCTGCGTAATCCCAGTGTAACGTGGGCTGAAGACACCTCAGGAGGTCATCTGGGCTAATCCCTGCTTCAAAGAGGAGCTAACTTTAACTTCAGATCATCCTGCAGATATGACTGACAGATTTACTACGGCTCTTGACAAAGCTGTACATCTGAAGTACAGCTTCTTGACAAAACCAAAGGAGTCATGACACCAGGACACAAGAGTGAATCTCTCATAAGCCTAAAAATGGTGGGCATTCAGATGTTTTGAGAAGATAACTGAATTTTGGCACATAACTCCGTTAAGCCTTTAACAGTCCTGGATTTCAGAGTCACAGCAGCCTGATTACAACCATATTGCAGGAAAATTAACAATTTGCCCTCTAGAAAAATCTGAATTTCAACTTCTTTTTAAGTTCAGTATACTGACCAAGTTCATTTCACTTACTTATTCATAAGGCTCCCATGTCTTATTAGACCAGAGGGGCTTAAATAAAGCTCCTGCTCTTAAATTACAATCACAGGCTTACATCTTTGTCAGATCAGTAGACAGTGCTGTAGAGAAAAGGAAACAAAATGCCTTATCTCATGTAAATCTGTATTATTTATGAGCTATTATTTATCATTTACTTCCTTCCCTTCCCCACAAAGATGCCTCTGAGCTTGGGCTGGTGGGAATATAACCCTGAACTGGGACTGCTTCTTGTACAGTCTAGCACATCAGGAATGGCTAAAAAGAAAGCTGTGCTGATCAAACATCACAACTGCATTTTTGGGGCCCATCCATCATTGCCTGTCTATGGGTGGGACCCCAGAGGAAACTCAATAATGAGCTGAGTGTCAGAGCATCACTGGGAATCAGCTCCTCTGGCTGGCTCCCTGCTCTCCTGACAGCACAATTCACTCCAGAGACAGAGGCACAGCGCCAGGCTCTCACAGACTGTCTGCACCATTCATAAAGAGTTATAAACAACTCATACAGAGGCTCTGTATGAGCCAGAAGAACTCACCGGAAATTAAAAGCAGATAAGTCAAAATAATGATCTTATTTACTGGTTTCATACAGAAGGGAAACTAAGCATCATTCATCCATTAGTCCAGGATTTCAACTCTGCAGATTATTGTTTGCTGCAGAATGGCAAAACACATTAATATTTGCTAATGCTGACACTGGAGTACAAATACAGGATCTCACTTTATTTTGCTAGCAAACGTGAAAAGGCAATACCCGTGTGATTGGAGCAAATGCATCTTGAGGAGGTAATTCTTCTACACAGTGTAACTTACAGCAAATCCATTCAGTAAATGCAAGTTCAGATTATCCAGAGGCTCAGTATCCTCTTTACATCCTCCAAACTCCAGCAGCCACCCACAGCTGCTCCAAGGCAGAACGGCAGGAGCCCAAACACTCCACACTGCCTGCCCTGCTCAACTATAACCGAGACAGGGATGGTAAAGGAGGCACAAAACTTTCCTTTTGTGACTGGAACAGAAGAAACTTTTTGCATGGGCAAGATTCTCCAGCACAGCTGTAACCTGTAAGTGCAGCAGTGTTACAGAAGGTTAAGTGGAAGCAGAAGCCACAAAACTGGGCCTGTAACTCTTCCCTGCAGGTTACAAAATGCCACTGTTTCTTGCTATTCTACCAACAACCCAGCTAAATACCACTTAAAACTTCTACAGAGACTGTTTTAGAATTTAGAACAGCCAAGTGACCTTTACTAGACAATGACACCTGTACAGCTGACACCAGTGGCCCCAGGTCACACCTAACCTTCCCTCAGCACCAACTGTTTTTATGGAAATGAATTTCATAAATGTTTATCTCTGCAGTCAGTCTTCTGCAGAACATGCCTGAAGCTGTCTTCAGGAGACCATACTGGCCATATTTCAAAGGCAAGAGTTGACAGTTCTTTGATGATATTCAATATTTGAAGCATATATATCCCATCTAGACAAAGCCCAGCCAGCTTGGACCATAGAGGTATTTAAAAGAAAACAGCTTGCTGGTAAATATCAACCTCTGAATCCTACATATAAGGAAGCCAACCACAGTGTATAATTCAGGCCCATAGTTCTGACACAGTTATTTCCACAAAGCTGTTAATTGGTGGCAGGAGGAGATGTGGAGTTCTCTGGTTTTATAACTAGTGGCATTTAACAACTTTCCTATGGTTTCTGATTCCCATATTGTACAATTGTCATGCTACTGTGTTATGCATCCTTGGTGACAAAATGATGCCAACGAGTCAGAATAACTGTTCAGACAAAAATAACCTGCCAGCAGGCTCTTCACTGTAAAAAATAAAAACAGGTAAGGCCAAGCATGAGAGGCAAGATCATGCAACAATATCTGAGTTATAATACAGAAGTGAGAAATATCTGATGCCCCCACCAGTGTATGGAATGAATCCTCCATTCTTTAATGCACTACACATCCCCTACAATCTACAATTTCTTTCTCTACCTCTTATAGTTTGGGGGATTGATACTACTAGCTGGCTCCATAAACTGGAAAAGTGTACTAAATGAGGTTATAAACTTTATGGATTTTCCCTCAGACATATGGCACTGGATGACAGCATCCATGGAAACCTGAGTGAAGGAAATGCTCAGGTTCACTGGGGAGCTCAGCTCTCACATCAGTTGCCATCACCAGCCCCTGCAACTGTTTCTGAAGCTCACACACGGTAGCAAATCCTGATGTGAAGCTCTGAAGCAAAACTTATTGTAAAACAGGTTTTTAATCTTCTCTCAGGAAACATAACACTTGAGGGTTTGAAACCTGCTGAGTGTTTCACAGTGCACCTCAGTGACCCCTGCAATGCCTTTGGCATGCCCCATTCCAGCAGGGCACATCACCAATCCTGAGGGAATCAGCTTTGCAAAATGGCTGCAGCTAGACATAAAAATAGTCCATGGAAAGGGATCAGTTCAACGGGGATAAACTCAGCTTCTACTCGAGGATGCAAGCACTCTTTAATCAAAGAGCAAGGATCAATGGGGCTGGCATGGAAACCAGCACGTTCCTCCTCTGACAAATTCCCCAATTCACTGGGTGGTCCTGGATGTGTCACTTCAGCTCTTTCTTCCTTGCCTGATAAGGAAAGGAGAGGAACAATGACCCTGCATTTCTGCTGCCAGCTCCAATCCAAGCCTAGAATGTATTTCAGCAGTTCGAATATCAGGTGCCAAAGAACTGCAGTCAGTAAACAATGCACAGGGTGACAGAACAGCCCAGCTTTTCGAGGCAGAGGAACAACTCTAAAAGATCAGCAAAGTTTTTAAAAGACATCTAAACATACTCGAAAGTTAACTCAGCTCTTCTGAACCAAGATTAGGAAGTCTTAGCTAGAGGACTGGGACTAGGTCTGTCAGCGCAAAAGCAAAGACACTCCGGGTGGATTTCCATGCTGAACTTGTTAAAGGAAGAAAAATAAGTGGATTTCTCTCTAAATATGAACGTTTACATGTAACATTCCTGGCAATTAGGGATTTTCTTTTACATGTAACATTCCTAGCAATTAGGGATTTTCTTACTTGGAACGAATTTCCAGAAGCAACATATTCAAAAGCAGCAGTTTTCAACAGCAGGAGACTGAACCCCTAGAATTCTAGAGAACTGAATTAAGGAACAAGTAGAAGCCTCACCTCATACATCCACGGATTTTGAGCCCACATACCATATAGTTATCAAGACGTTAAGTATGACCTTAAAACAACAGCATTTACATTGTGATGCAACCTCCCTTAGAGGAAAATTGATAAACCCCAACAAACAGATTTTTTCCCCACGTTCTCTCTCGATGTAAAGAGCTGACTCAAGCAGCCACAAACCGCTCCGAGAGGCAGGACGGGAGCTCAGCAAGGAGAAGCCACGATGAGAGCGCCGTGTGAGCTGAGCCGGGTGCGCTCCCCAAGGAGAAGCGCGACCAGAGCCGCCCGTCAGTCACGGGCAGCGCTCCGCCGCTCCCCAGGGCTGCGCGCTGTTTTTAGCCAGTGAAGGAGGACACTGACATTTATTTGACCGTCAGCAGGCTGCTGTGTTTTCCAACAGCATCACTGGAACAATGGCTCTGGAAAGGAGCAGATTTAACCGCTGAAAATACTCGGTTTGTTAAAAGCGAGGCAAAAAAAAAATCAAAATAAAGTAAGTCAGAGGAGTGGAATTGCGAATTTATAAGCCGTGAAGCATTTTTAACAGCTGCATAAAGGGGCTGAGGGCAGTTTGCAGCTCTGCATGTCAGATGTCTGGGCAGATGAGGAAGTCTGTGAGTTACTGTATTTCAAATTATTCGGAACTTTCGCATGTGACATAATTCGGGTAACTAGACTGCGCTTCACATCAAACTCGAAAGAAAACACATACGAATAAAAGCGTTTCTAAACAACGCACAAAATTCCAAACCAAGTAACAATCAAGTTTTCCTTAAATAAAAACTAGAAACCTCGCAACTGCAAAGGACTGATGATGGATGAGCCTGAGCGGCACCACAAACTTTAATCGGCTGTTATTTCTTGGTTTATCTAAAAGCAGCTGCAGCGCAACAGCTGCCCCTGCCCTCGCTGGGAGAGGAGCGGGATGGAAACGCCGCAAGCGGAGCAGCGTGCGGG